CTCTCTCTCTCTCTCTCTCTCTCTCTCTCTCTCTCTCTCTCTCCCTCTCCCTCTCTCTCTCTCTTTCTCTCTCTCTTTTACTTTTTACAAATTGTTAATGAGCCTTTGTCCCTGCTATAACTGACTGGGCTCCGATGAGGCCCTGTTCTTGCCCATTACTTTTGATACAGACAATGACTGAATGAGTTGGAAAAAACGGGGATTTAAAAAATCCCTGTTATTACCGGATCCCTGTTATTGCTGGGCTTATGGTGGCAACTGTACAATTAAGAGGACGTCAGTTTCGATCTTTTTGTGTGTTTATCTTCTATGAATTTGGGATTTGCCTGCTAATAAGTAATATGGGATAGATACCCACAACAAGAATACACCATGAATACTATCCGAACCGTGGGAACATATTTTCTCTTCATTCTTTGTTTGTTTTCATTGACAGGGCGCCTGTGTGCTAGGCATCAATGCGCCTGCAGTGACGATCAAGAACATTGAGAATTCCATCATCGACTATGGCTTCCAGCAGGGCTGGGTGCAACCGGTGGTTCCTTCGGTGCGCACAGGCAAGAGAGTCGCTGTAGTGGGTAGCGGGCCCGCAGGCCTGGCTGCAGCTGCACAGCTCAATAAGGTAAGTAGATCTAGTAACAATGGGCTGAGGATGCCACTCTTTGCATTTGCAAGGCGTGCGGACAAAATGAGTTACTTCTCGCATTTTAGCCCAATGGATGGAAATAGATATGTCAAATTTATGGGTTGAGTTTTTACAATTTTTTTTGGTATGAAATGATAAAACAAATGTCAAACTTAAACTTAAAGAGAATGGCTTTGATTAAGAATCCACAAATATGACCCTTGTGTCACTTTTTGGCCAATATCTCCATTCATGGGTTGCGAGAAGTAACTCATTTAGATCTAGTCAGCACACTTTACATTTGTATGTATTCCTATGGAAATAAATCAAAGATCAAAAGACCAAGTTTTGCTCTATAGCTCGGTATGTGTGTCATCCAAAGACTGAAGTGTAGGTTTTGCAAAAGTTGAATGTTTATTCCCTGCTTTGTTGCAGTAAATGTAGTGTAAAGTAATGGGAACATTCACATTTTCAGCATTTAATTTAAAAGATGTTTCAAGCAATAAAAGCATACATAGTCTACCAAAATGTTCAGAAAAGAATGAAGATTTAACATCTATGGGGAAACAGTTGCAGGACAGACAATCCAATATTTATGATGAATGAGGGAAACAAAAATCATAATGTGGCGTCTAGTCAGAAGAATTGCTGACTTGTGAGAGTGAAATCTTTGTTTTTGCAAGCATACATTTGGTTAAGTGTGTGTGGTGTTTTGGGGTGTGTGTGGATGTCTATTTTATGTTTGCATTTTTTGTAAGTCCCCTTTCCTGTGTGGTCACCCATTCCTCTGTGTCAGGTTTTTTTTTCGTAATGTATGTTTTTTGTGGTGTAAACTGATTGAGGTTTGATTGATTGTACCGTGAAGGGGTTAAATACCTATGAAAAAGATTAAAATATTTTAGAGGAATAATCTCTCTAATCTCTTGATTTTTTTGTTTCAGTAAGTGTTTTATGGGGCTCGCGACTGCATAAGGTCATATGAGTGTGTGGGACACATTATGCATTTTTAATTTGGAAGGAATTGAATATTGCTCGGGTGGCGGCTGAAGCCTACTTTTATCGAGAATTTTAAGACCACCAAGGGATCTTTATTTAACGTGCGCAACTTGCACTAGTACAGGGTCCTCTGAGATTTTTTCACCCTAATCCAAGAAGGCTAAATGATACCTACCGTAAGATCAGGGGTGTACTCTTATGTCTCTGTCAAGATTTTTCAAAAGCAGCTTTAAGTTATCCTCTCAGATTTTTTTTACACATGAACTTAATTTTGTTTTGTTCATCAAAAATTTATCTTGGAAATGTGATTACAAAGAGTGTATATTTCATGTAATCTCTTTGTAAGCACTAATATTTATTCTTTCTTTTCATGTCTTGTGTAGGCTGGCCATTTGGTGACGGTGTTTGAAAGGAATGACCGTTTAGGAGGTCTATTGAGATACGGTATCCCGACAATGAAACTGGACAAAGATGTGAGTGTGCTGTGGGCTTATTTTGGGAAATGTCAATCCTCAAACTTGGTCTAAGTTGGGAAACGATATACTCCTTCTTCTTCTCCTTCTTCTTCTCCTTCTCCTACTTCTTCTTCTTTTTCTTCTTCTTCTTCTTCTTCTTCTTCTTCTTCTTCTTCTTCTTCTTCTTCTTCTCCTTCTTCTTCTTCTTCTTCTTCTTCTTCTTCTTCTTCTTTTTCCTCCTCCTCCTCCTCCTCCTCCTCCTTTTTCTTGCGCTGCTGCTGCTGCTCATCCTCCTCCTCCTCTTTCCCTTACATACAGTATTTAACAGATTCTTTTAATCTAGGTGCAATTGGTTTTATGTATGTATCCTATTTCCCCGCCTGATCACAGTGTGTAGCCATTTTCGAAGGTACATTTCTTAATTTTATACTATACAGTTTCTTCAGCTTTACATTAGAATAAAGGCTGAATTTTTATCTGTTAAAACTGTGACAGATCAGGTCTAGCTATGTTTGTATCTATCCAACATTAAAATTGAATCTTTTATCATAACTGAAGCCAGATCAATTTAAGGTTTTGACTGTCAAAATGTTGCTTGGTCTAATGCACAAATGATAGTTAATGAATGCTGTAGGTCATTTACAGTGTGTGTGTGTGTGTGTGTGTGTGTGTGTGTGTGTGTGTGTGTGTGTGTATGTGTGTGTGCCTTGTAATAATAATATTAATGATAAAAATGATGTTAGAGGCTGGAGGTAAAATTTTTGGTTTTAAAGATTGTACTTTCTTTTCGAAAACACTAGAAACTCTCCGCTGCTTGGGAAAAGTGTAACTGGAGGCCTTAGTCTGTTTAGAACTGTTGATAGTTTCCCTACTCTACTGCTTGGGAAAATGGTAACTTCGCTGTTCTAGAATTACAAAATTCTATCTGCTCAGTACCGGTACCTAGTTTTGAGAGATTTGACTTTACAGTTTTGAGTTTCACATTTCCAGTTTTTTTTAATTCAATTCTTTGAATATCTTGAAAAAACTCAAAATAATCTTACTGTTTTTATAGAGCAGATAGAACATTTGTTTTCTGACCTCATGGTCTTAGTTCTTAGACCTAGAAGTTCAGTTTGGTCCAAAATGTCAGTTAGAACCTTGTAAATTCTAATGTAGCAACTTGAAGCCTTAGACTCACTGGCACAACTGACAGTTAGGCTCGTTTCCTCCTTGGCAGGTGGTTCAGAGGCGAGCAGATCTTCTCTCTGAAGAGGGAATCGTGTTCAAAACAGGAATCGAAGTTGGCAAGGACGTTAGTGCCAAGAGCCTGATGGATGAGTATGATGCTGTGCTGTGTGCTCTGGGGGCTACCTGGCCGAGGGACCTGCCCATACCTGGTCAGTGAAGGCCTTGGTGGTGCTGGTTGTTGTTGTTTTTTGTTACTGTTGGTTTTTTTTTTAATTTGTTGTTATTTATTGTTCTTTGGTCACTGTTTTCAACTGCCACAGGCGTCTTGACTGTTTTTTGGTGCCTGCAATTTAATAGATATATATATAGTAAATTTGATTGTCAGTGTGCTGTCGGTTTATGAATTACTTTCATAGGATCAGTAGATCATGTATATCTGTTTTGGCGCAGTTGTGACTTACTGTAGGAATGGTATTTTAGAGACAATATCCAGAAATTAATCATATGTGGCAAAGAAAAATGGGTCATCATCATCATCTTCAAATGCCAGATCTGCAGCGATGATGGTTCTCCATTCATTCCTTTGCTCAGATGCTCTTAAAAAAGCTGCGTTACCTTGATCTTTCCCCTTTGCCCATGTTTAGGTTCTGTAAGTAGGTTGCTCTGGGCTACCCCTGCCTCGTTGGCCTGAAATTTTGCCTGTGACAGCGAGATGTTCGAGACCTTATGTCTAATTCACTTGTCCCAAAAACTACATTTGTCTTTTCCTGATTGTTTTTATCAGTGAGCATCCCACATGGGCTTCATCAAGCACTACCTCATTTGATTTCTTTTCCTTCCACGATTTTTCCAGCAGTCTCATAAGAAACCACATTTCTGTTGCTTCTATTTTATTTCCACTGTCTTTAGTGATTGTCCAACGTTCACAGCCATGTAGAAGTGTTGACCATACATAGCATTTCAGATCTTTCATATTGGCAGTCATTGAAGATGGGTACAAAGCCTATATATAATTTCCACAATTTTGCTCTCTGTTTTAGGCCGTGAACTCTCCGGAATCCACTATGCCATGAACTTCTTGGAATCCTGGCAGAAAGTCCAACAGGGCAACAAAGACCCTTTCATCAACGCCAAAGACAAGGACGTGATTGTGATAGGTGGAGGTGACACTGGATGTGACTGCATTGCAACCTCACTCAGACACGTGAGCAACATTGTTGTGGCTATGGTGGTTGTAAAGTTGTTGGTGTTGTCATTTTCTTTGCTGTTGCCTATATTGTTGTTGTTGTTGTTGTTGTCATTGTGTGTTATTTCTCGTCTTGCATTTGGTAATGCCTTTCAATCAAGTGCCATGATGTGGAAGGTGATCTTTCTGGAGAAGGAAATGAAAAACCATATGTGAGGCAGCGTCATGAAATCAGGCGCCGGTCAAAATAATGAAAGTGAAAAATTGGCATTTTTCCACAGGTTTGGGAATTTTTATTGAAATAATTTAAGGAAATAACACAAATTTGGAGGCCATTTTCTAGCTAATTTACCTCTGAAACTAGGCGACTCCCACCTCCTTCAATCGCCAATATCTTGACTTGTATCTAAGATAAATGGATATTTATTCCATCAAAAACAAGGTAAATAAACAGGCTTTAAGATGATACTCCAAATGCCCCAAAATTGACAAGCGCCTGATTCCACCGCGTCGTGACATATTTTGTATCATATATGATGCTAACGTTATGATCTGGCACATCCTAATAGAAAGTCTGGACTATGGAGAGACCTGAAGGAAATATTTTTAGTATACTTATTTAACTCTTTATCTGTTAGGGGGTAAACTAGTGGTGGGCCAAGAATCAATTGCAGAACCGATTCCTGTGATTATTGCTTCTGAGAAAAAGAATCGATCCCTTTTTCGTAAAGTAACGATTCTCAATTACTCTATTTTTATCTTAATTTTTCTTTAATAAAGTATGTATTTTTGAAAAAAAAATGTTGGTGCTTTGCTATGTTCTGAAATTGAGATGCAAATTCATTGTCAAAAATTATATTAAAACTTATTTGTTGCTTTCACATTTTCTCATTCATCTGTTATTGTTTTTAATATTCCCTTTTCTTTCAATTCAAAATCTAAAATTGTAATGTCTGCCCACGAGGCTCTAGAATCTATATTATAGGCTCTCATTTCTCGGTGTAGGTCAGTGTTGGTTCTCTGACTTCACACTGTAAAGATTGGGTGGGGTAGTGCCCTCCCACCCCAAATAATCAAAGGGATCGGACTACTCATTACTCGCCGTAATAATTGTTAGTGTCGGACTAATCGCTACTCGGCGGAAGTAATTGCATGGGTCAGACTGATTGCTACTCGCTGGGAGTAATTGCAGGGGTCAGACTGATTGCTACTCGCTGGGAGTAATTGCAGGGGTTGGACTTATTGCTACTCGCCGGGGTTAATTGCAGGGTTCGGACTAACTGCTAATTGCTGTATATATAATCATGATACTGGCTAGGGGTCAAAGCCACTGGAAAAAATAAATCATAGAGCCACTCTAAGAAATCACGTCACTGGCTATAATGAAAGTAATTGGGTTCGAAACCGATTCCTATGATTCCTGACCTTTAATAATCGGGAATCTTCGGTTACGGAAAAAAACTGGAACCGCCCACCTCTAGGGTAAACCCACGGTGCTGGGGCATATTCGTCTCTAAACCAATCATTAGATCAAAACAAGTGAACCGGACTTTAATAGTTTTTCATCTAATGAAAAAACTCCCAGCAATAAGGACTTGTTTTCGGCAACTGCTGAAAACTAATTTGACATCGAAGTCATCGTAAAGAAAAGTGCTCAGGTCGCTGCCAGCGGCTCATTGGTACAGCGGTTCCAACTGTGAGCCACTGGGAGTGGCCTGCTGGAGAAAAGGAGTTAAAGAATTTGTTCTCCATCATTAAACAAAAAAGAATTCTTGATTTCATAAAGGTCATTTGTCTTTAGTCCAAAAAACGTAAACAGTATTGTTTTATAAATATAAATTACTGCTTTTTATCAATGATGTGAATTTTAACTGACAAAGGCATATGTGTTTATTATGTGTATGTGTGTGTGTGTGTGCGTGTATGTATGCATGTATGTGTATGTGTGTGTGCCGCACGCCTGTGTGTGTGCGTATCTGTGTGTGTGTGTGTGTGTGTTTATGTGTGTGAATGCATACATGCGTGGGTGCGTGTGTGGGTATATGTTTGCGCGTATTTATGTGCGTGTAGGGAGGGCGGTTCGGAGGTTAATAATAAAACTAAAAAAGGCTCTCTGCTCAGCAACAATAGGGAGTGCGTCTTTTGTATTGTAACTGTAAGAATAACATATAGCATCTTTTTTGTTTGTTCAGAAATTCATACATCATACATTGTAGGCCCTATCTACTTTAGAGAGTTGTCTCTTTCCTTTTTTCCTTTTCCCGCTTTCCTGGGTTGTTGTTTGTTTTTTTGCCCTTTTTCCTCCTCCCCTGTAACTGTGTTTTTTTCTTCTCCCTTTTTCCTTCTATCCCTTTCCTGTTTTTGTTTTACATTTTTTTGGGGGGTACTTAATTAAGAGTTCTATTTTTGTTTGTAGGAGTGTGTTACTGTTACCCTCATGCAAGAAACCAAGCAGTAACCTGTCATGTATGTCTTTGTCATCAGGGGGCCAAGTCGGTGACGACTTTTGAGATCCTGCCAGAGCCTCCAGCGACAAGGGCAGAGGGCAACCCCTGGCCAACCTGGCCACGAATCTTCAGAGTGGACTATGGCCATGAAGAAGTGAAGCTGAAGTGGGGTCGTGACCCCAGGATCTTCAATGTCAAAAGTTTGGTAAGTGCCAGTGAGCCTGTCCTCTTATTCTTCCTTCTTTGTGTTCCCCTGCTAGATATCCGGGGTAATTGACTGTTGGTTCTTCGACCTGAAGTGCGACTGATTTTTAAACATAAGGTACCATTTTTTTTTTCTACTTCTGAACCCCTTCAGTCTTCAGGCAGTCGCATTCCGATTTCAAAGGTATTTTTTATACTGTCCAGAGTATTTTCAATTTAAGTGGGAGTTTATTTTGAATTTTATACTGGGTGCTTGAAGTGTATTCATATCGATTTTAAAGACCACCTTATAATCTTCAATGTACTTAACTTGCACATGTGACCTCCTATTTTTTTGCCCTTATCTGAGAAGGTTGAGTGTTTGATCTTACCTACCCTAAGATCAGGGGTATGGCTGAAAGACAGCAGTAAGAAGAAGCCAAGAGTAGCAGTAAAAGGAGTAAGGAACAGGGGAGAGAGGAGCACAAAGGAGGTTTGCGGAGGTTGGAAGAAAGAAAGTGGTGATGAAAGCAGATAACAAAACAGAACTAGAGAATGGGAAAGGAGGACAAAGGATAAATTTAGAATAGGAAAAATGTTTTCATAGCTTGCACGTTTTATTCCCTGGACCTTTTGACTGAGGGACGGACACTGTCATCCTACTAGTATTATCCTACTACTACTAATCCTACACCACGAGAGCCCCCAGTAAACCTCTCATCCACAGCTTTTTTGGAAGTTCTTAGTGGACGACAGTGGTTTTGCCTACTTTTAAGCCTCCTCTTAACTTACTTCTATCTGTCTGTCTTCTCTTTTTCCAGAACTAAAGGCCATTAATCAGTCAATATGTTTTTCTGTACTTAAAGACCAGGATCTCTCAGACTGGATTTCAGGTCAAACAAAAATTTTTAATTAATTTAAAATGAAAAATATGAACGAAAAATAGTAAGTTCACTCACTTTTCTTCTGGTTATGTTTGAACCTTGCAGGGCTTTGAGGGAGATGCTAATGGCAATGTGACCTCAGTGAAGACCATCCTGGTTGAATGGACGAAAGATGACTCTGGACGCTGGACCATGAAGGATGTACCAGGTAAGAGCTAGGGTAGGCACTGCTCATAGCTAGATTCCTGATATATCTCTATCTGTCTGCGCACCAGTCCCCTCATGATTAATGATTGTAAATGTTTGATAAAAGTCAGGGGTGGATTGCTTGGATCCTGCCTGTGGGAGCCAACCAAAGCTGAGTGTGATATGGTATCTCAGCAGATAGATTAAGATACTTTATCTATGTGTACAGTGGTCTATGGATGAATTTATGTCTTCATGGGAGAGAAAAAAAGTCAACTCATTCATAATTCAACAGAAGTGCGAAACAGCAAAATCAAGGAAAATAAAAAAGTCTTTTCCCCTGCTTATACTTATATTCTAATTTTAGTGTTGTTATCTGTTGTCAGAATGGTGGTTATTCACTTCATTAATCTTCAGGCCAATGTGTGTATGTCTGTTGGAGAGAGTGAGAGAGAGAGAGAGAGAGAGATAGAGAGAGAGAGAGAGAGGTAAAAAAGTAATAATACTAACATGTACCTACAGGAAAATTTGCCTCTCCATGCAGCTGAGAATGGTCAAAACGATCCCTGTTGCCTTTTTAAAAAAAATTCCCACAGTGCAAAATGTATTTTGCAAATAAACTTAGACCACAACATCTCTTGAAAAGTGAACATTATTGCAAAAAGTACTTTTAACACAGGTATATTTTAGACAATAGCTTTTAACCGAATGAACCCCGTGCTCCCGGGCCTAATTCCTCCCCCCCCCCTCCCGGACTCACAAGCGAAATTCAAGAAAACAGGCATGCTGTTAGTATTGTAATTAGATCTAGTACTCTTGCAAAAACACAAATATAAAGTAATAAAATTGTTCCTACGCTCCAATCTCCAATACTGCTGCTTGGTGTGCCAATCTGTTTGTTTGTCTACTACTGAGAAGGTGCGAGGTCTAAACAGGTTACGCCAAACCCCAATATACGGGGTCTCGGGTCCATTGGGTTAAAGAGTTCAAAAACTTAAATGGGACTCGAGACCGCTGGAAGTGTATGTTACGACTGATTTTTTGTTTTAGTAGAAGTTTTACGGCGCTCGCTTAAAGTCATATGAGCGCCAAAGGGTGGATGTCTACAGAGAAGTCCTTACAAGGAATCAGGCTTACTCTGCTCACCTCTCCAGCTTCAACAGCACAAAGTCTGCTTCTGCTATCAAGGCACCCCGGAAATAGTGGGTCACAAGAGTGTAACAAACATAAAAAAAGAAGTAGAGGGGAAAATGACAATAGTAAGGAATAGGAAAGAAAAAGCAGCAGTTCCCTGTTGCAGTTCATGCATTTATGAGCATGACATTGATGAATCAGCCCATATTTACAGTTACAATTCTACATGCATAAGAACATGGTTAATGTCCCCCCTTTGGGAATGGCCTAAAGACACTTCTGTCAGTAGCACCACCCCGGAGGGTTTGTCACGACTGAGAATAAGTTTTTCAGTCAAGTACATTATACCGAGGTTTTTTTACTGTGATACTCATTTTCTTGTGGTGCGCCTTACGCTTCGGATTTCAGGGGAAACAACAACAGACATGGTTATTGCATCATGACGTCTCACACACACACACACACACACACACACACACACACACACACACACACACACACACACACACACACACACACACACTCTCCTCATGCTCCCTACTTTGTTTTATTGGCCTGTTGCCTGTTGGTCCACTCTACATAACTCATAGAGTGACATAACTGCACGGTTGTACTTTTTGGTTAAGTATCACTCTTGTCAAAGCTACTGTGAAACTTCTGACAGTGCACATGATGCAAAAAAACAAAAACGTTCAGGCGTTGCGTACTTGCAGTTGGGAGTTTAAAAATAGCATTTTAACTCAAATGTATGTTTGAGTGAACCCAACATAATCTTTTGATGGCTACCCCAGAATTACAAAGTTCTATCTCACATCTGCTGACATTTAAAACTTCGAGTTTCACAACATGTCAAGCTTTTTCCAATGCAATTCTTTTAATATCTTGATAACGATTCGGAATAATCTTACGATTTTGAAAGAGCAGATAGAATATTTGGTTTCTGACCTCATGGTCTTAGTCTTAGAAGTCACAATGGCCAAAAATTATAATTCTAGGGTAGTGAAATGTAAAGGAGAAAAGATGCTGGGACCTGAGCGAAAATCAGGTCAAGTGACTTCAACTAAGTTGGAGTTAACTATATCTTCTCGGTGCAGGAATCGAACTCACATCTTTTTCATGCGAAGGCGAAAAGTATAACCATTACCCCCAGAACTTAGGAAACAATATCACACCACCTCTTTACCTGCCTTGCACTTAACAACCTGTGTAGCACCTACCTACTTGCCTGCCCAGATATCGAAATACTTTATACAGCAACAAAAGTAAATTCTTTGCCATATCGACAGGCCGAAGGGCTAGAACCCAGATAGCCGCTGGATCGGAAAAGTAAAGTAAAGTACCCCATGGAACCAGTTCGAGTTTCCTAATTCCCCCTAAATATTTTCTAAAAGATTTATTTTTAAAGCCACTGTGCAGTAGGCCTTGTTTCCACCCAGAATTTTAGTGGCGATCTGTGGTTCCTCACAGTATTATGCTGGAAATCTTTAAGTCTGAAAGTGTGATTCATTTTTTTCTTGGTGGCCTGATAGCTAAGATCAGATGAAAAGCTCAAAGGATCATCGTGAGACCTTGTTGTGATGGAGAATATAGGCCTACTTTTGTGCACTGCGTTGCAGACCCGCCTTTCTTTACTGTGGATTCACATCTTAAGCAGATTAGTCTTGGTTCGAGTTTTTTTCACCTGGCAATTACCTTCTTTTTCAGGCTCAGAGAAGTCATACAAGTGTGATCTGGTGCTCCTAGCCATGGGCTTCCTGGGCCCTGAAAGGAAGATTGTGGAGGAATTGTCAGTTGACCTTGACCCCAGAGGTAACTTGGAAACACCCAAGGGGAAGTACTCGACAAGCATCCCGAACCTGTATGCTGCTGGAGGTTAGTTGAAGTTGTTACTATAGCTTCCATTTCTCTATTATTGTGATTTTAACTGACACAGCCCGCAGATAATTTTGACTCGGGACGCAAATAATTTGTGACCGCTCCGTGACCTCACGAGTCGTCTCACAAAAAGTTGATTACAAAACATCTAAATTTGATAAAACCCTATGTGTGGAATATAGAAATGTTCTGAATTTGATAATGATCGCAGGATACAACAGGTGACCGCACTGTATGCCTTCTCTCCCCCCCCCCCCTCCCACTCCATCATACACGCGCACGCGCACACACACACACACACACACACACACACACACACACACCTATACACTACCCCCCACTCTGAGACTGGGTTGACCAGAGTGGAATGGAGTGAGCCTGCGGTGGGTGTATCAGGGGCTGAAGGTAATAACTTCAAATTAACTTCACGTAAGTTTCCCATGGTCTTGGTCCCCAGATTGCCGCCGTGGTCAGTCACTGGTTGTGTGGGCCATCTCCGAGGGTCGCCAGGCAGCCCGGCAAGTTGATGCTGACCTCATGGGGCACTCCAACTTGGCAGGCCCAGGAGGCATTGTGAACACAGAATGAGTTATGCGTGGATGGCTGTAGATCTGCTTGAATGTGCTGACACTAGCAAGAGGAATGACAAATGAGATGAGAAAGCAAATGCCGGACAATATGAAGAACATGTGGAGGACTGGTCTGGGTTGGAGATAGCTCCAAATGTGATGCACTCACAATAACATTAATGGGTTCTTGAGAGAGGCTTAACCTAGAGGCACCTGCTTGACAAAGTAGAGGAGGTACCCGCTCGATCTGAACTTGTGGAGCTCAGGGCTGCTGCTAATGAGGATGAGAATATTAGCCTATTGCAAATCTGTTGATATGATTCCTGATCTGATCTGATAGACAGTCGGAATCACCAGAGAGTTGATGGAAGAAGGGGAGATGTTGTACTGTCAAGTGATCAAAAATGGAAACGGAAGAAGTCTGTTATGTTTTGAGACTTACAGTACAGAAATACTGGCCTTACATGTATGGGATCATTTCAGTGCTAATCCATGAGATCTGTGAAATGATTGTCTGTTATTAACTAAATGCCTGTTCTTATTTCGCAAATATAATTTGATTGCACAATTGAATAGTTCTTTAAAAAATCTGGTTGATGTATTGTGCAAATAAAGTATAAGTCTTTCTCATATCAGTTCCTGTATCATCACTAGTACAATATGCTGTGTCAGATATCCATAAAACTACTTGTAGCACAGAAGGCTCAGTCAGTGGTATTTCATCAAAATTATTATGCACATTGTGAAAAATCTCTACCATCAGATCCAGATTTTTGTTTAAAAGTAGGTTGAGACCCCCATAAAATGAAAACTTTTACTTTTAGCCTACAAAAGAGTTTTGGTTCTTATATTATACCCTGGGCCAGCTGCTCAGATGTACAGTACTAAGCCCGAAATTTAGTGTATATTTAGTTTCTTAATTTGTGTTATCAGTTGCTTACACTCGTGAAAAATTTAGTCAAAGTTCATATTCTACATGCGAGTGTGAGGCATCGTGGTGAGATCAGGCATTTGTCAAAATACTGAAATCTAAGAAACCAGCTTTTTTCTACGAGTTTGGACATTTTTCTCGAATTTTTGTTTTTTGGCTCAACACCTTTTATGTCCATTTAAAAACACGTTCCGGTGTGTATTTTACCGAAAAGCACTGATTAAAGGCACAAACATTGCAGACTTTCAGTTTCTAAGGACTGTCGAGCTTTGGAAGTTTACCAAACCTTGGCGTCCATTTTCTCGCTAATTTTACCTCTGTAATCAGGTAACTCCCACCTCCTTCAACCGCAAATGTCTTGACTTCTATTACAGATAGTTTGGTAGTTTTTTCATCCAAAGCAAGAAAAATGAGCAAGCTTTAAGCTGATACCAATTACTCCACATGCTCACAAATTGAGGAGCTTCTGATTCCACCATGTCCTGACTAGAAAAGATACATAATATACTAATATATAGGTAAAATTTGTAAAAGAATTGTAACAATTTTTTTTCTCTCTTTTGCTTTCTTAGCTTGGAACGCTTGAACAGTTGAGAACAAAATATGCAATTTTAACTCATTAACTTGCTGACTCTGTGATCCAACTTGAATCTCACGGTCAGCTTCAAAATTATGTTCAGGCTGTTTTCTGTTCTGGTAAGCTTTTGGCAGCATATTAATAGAAGTAAATAGTCATGGAATATATTTTTTTTCTTTTGGTATAGTCTTTCCCTAAAATTCTCTTCGTAACTCTAGCTTTTCATATATGTGAAAGAGTAGGGCTGTTTTAAAAAATCCTTCTTTATCTTTTTTCACACTGGTAAAATGCGTTTCTGTGCCAAACAGCATAGATTATTTGCAATAATAGTGATGGAGTTAGGGCGTAAAACGATTCTTAAGTTTATAGATGGAGAACATCACAGTTCTTTACGCAGAAACAGAAAAAGGAAGGATCAACAAGAGCAATCAAGTTGGAAATGGTCTTTAGCTTCATAATTTATATGCTCAGTTTGTGACCAGACAGGATTTCATATTTCCAGCAATGTACTTAGTAGGTCAGGTAACGAAAACGTTATTCTCAAATGTCCAATTGTTAGGTATCCTTCCCCTCCACTCCGAAAGAAAAGCTTTACATATATGTATATAAGAATTTACTTCAGATAACTCATCCATGTATGGTATTACTTTATTAGACTAGAAGCCTCCACCTAATCATGTTCAAAATTCCCTTACTTTCCATTATACTGAAGATTTGATTAATATTTCCATTTTCAAGATAATAAAGAGCTTCCATCATACTGACATTGCATACTGACTGGTGATCGTGTTAAATGATTTTATTCATGTGAACCATGTGTGAGTCTGGAATTTGGGGAAATATTGGGATTTTAAAAAACTCTTTTATTTTGTTTTCCATACTGAGAATATGAATGTTTACATTTGATGTATGGATATTCAAAGCTTAAGTAAAGCACCTAAAATTTGAGACTAAAATGGAAAAGCATCAAGTTATTATTTTTAAAAACTTTTTAAAAAAAGAAATCTGTCAGAATACAACAAAAAATTATTCTGTAAAAGAAGGGTTCAGTTTCTGTTAATGTAAACAATGGTACTTTTTTTAATGTGCTCTGCTTAACTTTCTGTTGATACAAAAAGTATAAGTGCTACAAAAGTATGAGTGCTACAATCTTTTAATACCAGTCTAGCACTAGCATGCACATTCTCATAGTGAAAACTGCAGGATGCAGAAATTTTGTTCGAATTTCATTGTGTATAAATTTCAGGCCATATCAGGGAGAAAAACACAGACAATTTGATCACAATTCTACGTGAGCTGTGCCCTCTGTGCCATGACAACATGAGTGTTAGATTCACTGTTGATTGAATGTTTTGCAGTTCTGGGTTTTGTTACAATGATTTTATTACTCTCCACCTCCTCTGCCAGAAGCGACTGGTTTTCTTTAACCAAGCATTTCTGCTACTTGCCGTTTTCCCAATAATGTTACACGCTCAAGATAGATGGGTATTTTTTTTTTTTCATCGAAAGCCAGGCAAATAGATAAACAAACTTTAGTAAGATGATGATACCAGTAACTCCATATGACCAAAAATTGACGAGCGCCTGATTCCGCCCTGTCGTGGCACATTTCATCTTGCTCTTAAATTACGTTTATTATTTAGTTTTATTATAACCGATGAACTAATGACTTTTGTAAGTTATTGTGGTGGCTGTCTGACAAAGCAGGGCATCCGGTTCTGTGTCAGAACAACAGGAGGGAAAAAATGAGTAGTGAAGGAAAAGAATTCAGACCTCATGACTTGATTTGGCATAGGGGGTTTCCGCACATTTGATATATTTATTATTATTATTATTATTATTATTATTATTATTATTTCTACTCTGCCTCTTTTCCACATTCATATTTTCCTGGTTATTATTTACATTTAATTTATAAAAATAAAGCTTTCCTGATACATGTATTGTTCATAAAAGATAGGAGGTTTGGGTTAGCTTGTTATCCAAATAATGGCTTTGTAATTTTTTGTCATATTGAATTAATCTCTGTTTATATTCCCAATTTCATGCAAATTTTAGTGCTCTTAGTATACTAGTAGTAGCAAAGTATTTATGTTTCAATGTTTTCACTGTTATAGACGTTTGAGTAGATCTTGAAATGTTCTTAAGAATAGATGGGTGTCTTGTGCCCGATTTTTTTTTTTTACTATAATTTTGTGGAACTGATTAGATAAAACTTCGATCTTGCCTTTTCATATTACGGCAATTAAGAAAAGTATACCCAGCAAGTGATCAAGAGTGTTGTGGATTATTGTCATTGTTGATATGACTGTTAATTATTAGACAAACGTTTTGTATGCAAACAGTTGCACATGGGTATTCTATATCATGTGATAGCAGCAGAAACATGTAGTTTTTGTTGTCACTGTAATTGTTGTTGAGGGGAGGGAATAGTTTTTGCTGTCACTGTCTTCGCTGATGAAGGTGCTGAAACTGAGAAGTTTATGGCAAAACTCATGTTGTGCACAGCAAAGCTTTCTTGAAGAAACTTTAGACCCACTGTCCAGGTGTGAGACTTTCACTTTCCATATCATGTACATAATAAATATGCATGTAAATCCATCCACTGCTCGTCATTGTTTTCATTCTTAGCTTTTCAAGTGTCACCATTCTCAGATTTCACACATGCATACATTCAGTAGCCTACTTAGATTAGGTCACTGGAAACTAGGTGTAAAGGCTGTATACACATGTACATACACACAGTGACGCATACATGGTACGCTCGCATGCACACACACACATACTCTGACACACTCACACACGCTCACACACACACACTACACACACATATATAAACACACTGACACAAGCATGCGCGCGCACGTGCAGCACGCGCACACACACACACACACATATTTGACGACAAAATGTGACAAATGTCATTTTGTAAGTTTGACTGAATATAAGGAGTGGAGCTGAACACCTTTTATGTCCATTAAATTTTTTAAAATACATTTATTTTCTGTGGATTTTACGGAAAAACAGTGATCAAAGGCACAAAAAATGTTTTTAAAAATTACAGTTTCCAGTGACTCTCAAGTTTTTTGGAAGCCACCCAACTTTGGCGACCTCTTTCTTGCAGGGTTGGGTTGATTTAAATCAGTTGATTTTTTAAATTTAAATCAACTTGATTTTTTAAATAAAAATCACTGATTTAAATCACTTTTTTTTAAATGTATTTTTATTCAGTTTTTACACATTTCAACATTCAGAATTCCTTTCCTTGGTTTCATAAAACAGATATAAGGTTTAGTAGACTAATATAATCATGCTTAAAAGTCTGCTTTCCCCCCCTTCCACTGTAAAATAATACAGTATTCAATTTACTTTTTTTTTTCATAATTGAAATCAGAGCTGGTTTGATTTAAATCAGTTGATTTTTTAAATTTTAATAAAATTGATTTTAAAAATAAAAATCAGTGATTTAAATCACTTTTCAAAAAATGTATTCAGCTTTTACATAATATACTGTATTTAAACATTCAGAATTTCTTTCCTTGGTTTTATTAAACAGATATAAGGTTTAGTAGACTAATATAATCATGCTTAAAAGTCTGCTTTCCCCCCCTTCCACTGTAAAATAATACAGTATTCAATTAACTTTTTTTTTTCATAATTGAAATCAGAGCTGGTTTGATTTAAATCAGTTGATTTTTTAAATTTTAATAAAATTGATTTTAAAAATAAAAATCAGTGATTTAAATCACTTTTCAAAAAATGTATTCAGCTTTTACATAATATACTGTATTTAAACATTCAGAATTTCTTTCCTTGGTTTTATTAAACAGATATAAGGTTTAGTAGACTAATATAATCATGCTTAAAAGTCTGCTTCCCCCCCCTGTCACTGTAAAATAATACAGTTCTCAATTTACTTTTTTTTTCATAATAATTGAAAACCAGGGTTGGGTTGATTTAAATCAGGTCGATTTAAATCAGTTGATTTTTAAATATTTAAATCAACTTGATTAAAAAAATAATACTCAGTGATTTAAATCACTTTTAAATAATGTATTCTGTTTTTACATCTTTAAACATTCAGAATTCCTTTCCTTGGTTTTATAAAACAGATATAAAAGGTTTAGTTGACTAAAATAATCATGCTTAAAAGTCTGCTTTCACCCCTGTCACTGTAAGTAGTAAAATAATTACTGTATTCAATTTACTTTTTTTCCATAATTGAAATTAGCTTTTTCTTTTTATACAAACACAAGCGCGCGCACACACACACACTGTAGTAAAATGCAAGTTTATCTAAGCATAATTACCCCCCCCCCCCCCTTCCTTTTAGACTGACATTTTCTTCATTTTTTGTCTGTAGCCATATTTCACTGGATATAGCAGATTAAGGCTTTCTAAAATTGCAGTTGCTTAAATTAATCATTAGTTAAAATAAAGACAATGCATTTTGCACTGAAAGAACTTACTTTTAGTCACCAAAAATCCCAAACTGAGTCGGCATTTTTTTTTTTAAATAAAAAAAATCTGATTTAAATAAAAACAAAAAAATCAAAAAAATCACCAACCCTGCTTTCTTGTTAATTTGTCCTCTGATACCTAGTGACACCCACCTCCTTCAGTCATAAATATCTCGACTTCTATTCAAGATATGGGTATGTTTTTCATCAAAAGCAAGACAAATGAAAAAACTTCAAGATTATACCAGTAACTCCATAATATGCCCAAATACCGATGAGCTCTTGATTCCACCATTGTAAAGTTACCTGGCGGTCCGATGAGTCGGGTCTGTCAGGGGGCCCCTGTCCAAGATAAGTGTTGCCTCGTCGTGGTCCTGAGTTCGACTGCATACCTCAGTGAGTCTCTCAGACGATGTCTGCCTATTTCGCGCCGGACTCTTGACGTCATCCAAGGGCGTGCCACTCCCCTAATTATCTTGTCCCCACAGTAAAGATAAGAGTCATGTCCCTTGACACCACACATTATGTCATGACATATATCACATATTATGTGGGTGGGTGTACTTGCTGTACTACTGTAGAATGCAACTAGTTGGTCCTACTTCTTTTTTTTTTAATCCCTCTGTTGTTTCTGTCTATGTTTCTCAAATAAATTCACACCACACTCACACACACACACACTCACTCAGGTGTTAATGTATTATGAACATATATTTATATAGATCTATGTGTTGCCACGCAGTGGAATCGGGCGTTCGTCAATTTTTGGGCATACCAAAGATAGTACAAGACAAGATGGGCCACTTCTCTCTTTGAGCCAATTAAAAAAGTGTCCTCAAAATTTGGTGGCGCCCTCTTCACAAAAGCGCACTCTTTGCGAACAGAGTTACCCTACTTGAGTTTTTAAAAATCAAAGTGAAACTAGCAAGTTTTGGGATAAATTTCGGAAGAACGCTTTTTAAAAATGGTTACGCTGACAAAAAACCTCTTCCGGAGGAAAAGGAGATGGTTTTCTACGTTTAATTTGACTTTAGAATGAAGGGCGAGAGGTCATTAAAATAAAAAATAAAAACCCTAATACTCCGCACTGAACGTACCCGAACTGCTGATGAACAGCAGTCGATCTGCGCACGCAAGGAGGTGCTATTCCTATTCTTCTTCTGGAAAAACGAAAGAGAGCTTCAAAACAGACTGCAGCGCCATCTGAAGCAAAGAGCATACTTCCTGCGGACACTTTTTTCGCTGAGTGGCCCATCTTGTCTTGTACTATCTTTGGGCATACGCAGTTATTGAGTATCACCTTAAAGGTTATTCGATTCATTTGCCTTGCTTTTGAGAAAAAATTATATATCCATTTATCTTGAATAGAAGTAGAGATATTTGCGATTGAAAGAGGTGGGGTCACCTGATTTCAGAAGTAAAATTATCGAGAAAATGGCCGCCAAAGTTTGGTGACTTGAAAACTTTATGAGTCCTTGGAAACTGAAACTTTACCTTTTTTGTGCCTTTATTCAACGTTTTTTTCCAAAAATTCTACTCGCAGAAGTGTTTTTGAATGGACATACAAGGTGTTGAACCAAAAAACCAAAACTCAAAAGAAATTTCCAAACTGGCCGAAAAATGGCGAATTCTTGGATTTCATTATTTTGACGAGCGCCTGATTTCTGCATGATGCCTCACATGTATTATAAATATAATTTATTTAAGTGGAGTCTGTTTAAATCAGACATGGTTCATCCAAAAACGGTGGTCAACTGAAAGGAAATAGAATCCCCTTTTTTTTTCTCCTAGTCCTATTTGAACATCCTCCTTAAACCAAAAACTGGGCAACATCGAAGAAAATCCAGCGGTCCCGCAGATTTTATCTTGAGCAGACTCCATTCTTTTTTTTGTGTGTGTGTGTGTGTGTGTATTTTGTCAATTTAAGATCATTTAAGAGGCTGGCTTCTGACCCTGCCTGTCGGGACTGTCCCGGGTTAAGAGGGATAGAGCATCCCAGCAGAAAAACCGAGACTGTCAATAAAATTTTCTCCCCACTCAGAAATCGAACCTGGGTCTTGTGTGTGTGATAGCAAAGCATCTAACCACAACACCACAGACACCAGTCTCTGAAGGCTACATACAATTGTATTTATATCTAAAATATAACATTTTATATAACATACAGGGGGGTAAAAAAAATATGCCAAAATCATCACACAATATTTAAAACACGAAAAACAATTTTTTTTAAACTCTAGCTTGAACACATAGGCCTACGTTGTACATTGTACATACCGTAAAGTTTTAGTTTTATGTTTTGCAAGTGCTCAAGCGGCAGCACGGACAAAATAAAGCCGTTATAAGAATTCCTCCCAAATGCACCTCAGAACTCAGAATATCTCGGTATACTGTATTGATTGAGGCTGCTATTTGATCTTTCATGTCATCGATATTTGCTGGAAGTGGTGGAACATAAACTTAGTTTTTAGCATACGCTCACAAGAACTGGCACTTTACTAAACTAAGCAGATTTGAATGTCTTCATTTTTCAACAAGATATGGAGCACCACCCCATTGGCAACTCGGGGTTCAAGCTTATCTGAATGACAACGTGCCTCGGCGGTGGATTGGTAGGAGAAGTGCTAAAGACCTCGCTCTCTGCGCTTTGCCTGCCAGACCAGTGGACCTCATTGAGTGTGACTTTTTATTGTGTGGGTATGTTAAAGACAAAATTTATGTTCCACCACTTCCAGTAAATTTCGATGGCATGTAAGATCGAAGAACAGCTACAAACAATACAGTAGACTGAGACATTCTGAGGCGCATTTGGAAGGAACTGTCACATTGGCTTGATGTTGTCCATGCTGCCGGTGGTGGCCACATTGAGCACTTGTGTAAAACTTGAAATCTAAACTTTAGGGTATGTACAACACATGTGTCCAACAGAGAGTTTTCTATTGCTCTTTGTTTTTTAAATATCGCACTATCATTTTGGCGTATTCTTTTTTAATGACCCTGTATATATAAATATATAAATACATACTATAATGTAGATATATCGATTTTAATTGAAAAAGTTTTTACAGGTAAATGGTAAATGAACGGAAGAAACTGGTTGCGAAAAATCCTGTTCCATTTCATAAAAACATTTTTCTTTAAAA